AACTATCTATCAATATCCTAGACTTGGGGCTGGGAGGTAGTTCAGTTGAATAAGCACTAAGCGCAAGTGCCTGAGTTCAATCCCCAGTTCTGCAAAAAAAAAAAAAAAAAAAAAAAAATCATGCACTCAAGTTGTTCTTAATGATAAAATACTGATGACTTTGCCTCTGACAGTGGGAATAAGATATGGATGTCCACTATTACTACATTCATAAATTAATATAGCCTAATATGTATAATATCAATATTTTAAAAATCAGTTATATTTTTATGTTAGTAACATGTAACTATAGATTGAAATTAAAAAATACATGTACCTATTATCAAAAAATAACCAAACACCCGAGGGATAAATCTTAAAAATTTCTAAGAGCTCTGCTCTAAAAACTAAAACATTGCTCAGAAAAAGTGAAGGCCTAAGTAAATGAAGGGATGTGTAATATTCATGGGCTAATTATGCTAATTCTTCCCCAGAGTGATCACAGTCAGAATTACATCAAGATTTTTAATTTTTGTTTTTGGCAGAATTTGGGGAGGTTGATGAGCTAGAAAATGAAATGAAAGTACAGAGGATCAAGAACAGCTAGAAAATGTAGTAAGGATTGGGAATGGCCAAGCATAGAAAGATAAATAGAGCAAAATAGTCTATAAGCAGAACCACTGATTTATGTTGAGAAAGGTAGCAATGTCATTCAGTGGAGAAAGGGTAGTGTTTTTGGCATCCAATTTTTCATAAACATTTTGTGTGTATATATTTGAAGTCTATCACTTACATAATATATAATTCAGTCTTTAATGTACAAAATCCAGACTGAAAATTCTTTGTCTCTACCTAGTGCTTCCTTTATATTTAATGTAGTTACTAATTTATTTGGATTTTCATATGTCACTGTCCCATGTTTTTAAACTTTTTTGTTTTTTGTTCCTTTCCTATTTTGGGGGGATGAGGGTTTTTTGTTTTTTTTTTTAACTTCTTTCTTTTTTTTTTTAACTTCTTTCTTTTCATTAACATTTTACTTATAATTATTCTGTCCATTTAGCATACACCCTTTATGTTAAGTAAATTTTTCCTTTCAAATAATAGTCAAGCAGTGATACAACAAGTATTCCCTCCTTGGAGGGGTGAATGCAGTATTAGACACACTGCTTTTTCAATGAAGCCTTGTTTATTTCATAGCCAAGGCTCATCCTTACCCCAGTATATGTGCGTGAATATACCTCGAAGATACTTTTTGGGCTGGGGAGATAGCTCGGCGGTCTAAGCACCTGCTTGGCAAGCACAAAGACCTGGGTTTGATCCCTGGTACCACATGCTATGCCAGCCTGGCTGCACCTTGCCTGCCTCTGAAAGTGGGTGCAGTGCCACAGGCCTGTAATCCCAGTACTGGAAGGCTGCGACAGGAGGATCACTATGAATCTGAGCTGTGTTGCAAGACCATGTACCAAATAAATGAAACAATGAATGAATAAAATAAATGATTTTTTAAAAAAAAAATTTAAAAAAGAAAAGAAAGACAATTTTTCAAAAGCCAACTGCGGGGGCTGGAGAGATGGCTCAGTGGAATAAGCGCTTCCCTGGCAAGCGAAAAGGCATGAGTTCAATCCCCGGTTCCGCCAAAAAAAAAAAAAAAAAAAAAGCCAGCTGGGATCAAATGTTGTAGAACTAGACTTCAGGAAAGATGTCTGTAAATGGGAGCCCACGGAAAGGGCATCTTTTCATTCTCCTGCATGGGGCTAGTGGGCCAGAGGCAGAAATCTACCTCATTTGCCTGTGGTAGTGTAGTTGAGTTCTTAGCTTGCTTGATATCTATGGATGCATATTGGAGATTGGTTTCTGATAACTTAGGCTTTTGGCAAAATTGGTAATAGAAATATATATGATTTCTTTTTCAGATTGAGATTTTTATAAGGATTTTAAAGGGCTATGAGGGTAGAGGGAGGGAAGCTGGTGGAGGTGGGGGAGATAACCGAGGGCTGCTGCCTACCTATACTTGGCGGGACCAGGACAGTGAAGATGAGTGGCCCCTGGCCAAGATCCTAAGTGTGAAGGTCATCAATGGCAGGAAGCTTTTCTCTGTCCATTACATTGACTTCAATAAATGTCCGGGAAAAATAAATAAATAAATAAATAAATAAATAAATAAAATAAAATAAAATAAAAAATAAAAATAAATGTCCGGATGAGCGGGTGACCCACAAGCTGCTGAACTTAAAGAAGATCCAGTTCCCCAGCAAAGAGACCAAGAGCTCCACCTAGAACGGATTTTCTGGTTCTTGGCCCGGGTCTCCAGAGAGAGAGAGGTGGAACAGAAGGTGGAGTTGGTTTCACCGGCAACTCCAGTGCCCAGTGAGACAGCCCCAGCTTCTGTTTTCCCCATAGTGGGTCAGTCTGTAAAGCAGCGGCTGCTCAGCTAGGGTGGAAGTGCAAATCAAATTGCCTGCGCACTAATGAGGATTGCTGGGACAGCTCAGACGGAGTACCTTCAGCTGCACAAATGACCGGTGGCTTGGTATCTGACAGGAATCATGATGACATTGTCACCAGGATAAAGAACACTGAGTGCATGGAGCTGGGCAGGCATCGCCTCAAGCCATGATGCTTTTCCCCATACCTACAGGAGCTCACCATGCTGCCCGTCCTCTACCTATGCGAGTTCTGCCTTAAGTACAGCCATAGCCTCAAGTGTCTGCAGCGTCATTTGACCAAGTATGACCTGTGGCACCCACTGGACAATAAGGTTTACCACAAGGGCCCCATCTCATTCAATGAGATTTGATGGATGGAAGAACAAGAATCACTCCCAGAATGTGTGTCTTCTGGCCAAGTGTTTCCTCTACCACAAGACCTTGAACTATGACATAGACTCTTTCTTCTATGTCATGACAAAGTATGACTGCAAGTGCTTCCACATTGTGGGCTCCTTCTCCAGGGAAAAGGAGTCCACAGAAGACTGCAATGTGGCCTGCATCCTGATGCTGCCTCCCTGTCAGCACCGAGGCTACGGCAAGCTGCTCAGTGAGTTCATTGAGTATGTGTGCTGCTGCCCGGCCAGGTACTGGCAGACTGGCAAGAGCCAGGCCACCCATCAGTTCCCACACACAGGTGTGCTGGGTGTCTGTGCAGCCTAGTCACTAAGGGAATCAGCCAGAAATACAGGAGGGACGCTTATCAAGGCCTCCTCCCTTCTCGGGATGACAACCCTGCTTTCTGGAGTAGGTTATCGGGCCCTACTATGCCTTGGTCAAGGTCTGTATATTATCTAACCTTTGCCAAGTCTGAATAATCAGCCCTCCGTGGAGCTCTGGGAACCTTAGAGAACGCCTATTCATCTTGGTCTTGATACAAGTTGTTGGATAAGGGCCAGCGATACATCCCCAAGTATCTCCTGAGTCTTGGAAGCAGCAGATGGTCAAACTGTTAATTTACCACATACGCTGTCCCCTCCTTTATGCTACTAGGAATTGAACCCAGCATCTTTGAATAGATCTGTATCCCCAGCCTTTTTTTTTTAATTTTTGAGATGGCCTCACAGAGTTATTCAGGCTGGGTTTAAGCTTCTGGTTCTCCTGCTTCAACCTCCCACAGTGGGATTTATAAGTATGCACCACCGTGCCCAAGAATCCTACTCCTTTGTCACATCAGTCCCTTGAAGCCAGAAGGCACACTGCCCCTCATTAGATAGGCTCTTCAGTGTCTCCAGCCCCAGCACTGATTTTTCCTCCTTGGTTCTCTCCCATCCACATTTCACTCACTGCTCTGGGACTCCTCCGAGTAATGAAGCTCTGCCTGGGGGAGAAGGAGGAGGCTTTGCCTGCTTGCCTGCTAAATACACAGATATGTGACCTGAAGGGAAAAAAAAGGACTATGAACCTGTGGGCTGCAGATATATATTGAGTATGTTTAGCTTTTATTGGAAAATACTATTTTAGTTTTGTGTCTCCATGATTCCTGTTATACAAGTGAAGGAGTAAACGGTGCCAGGGATATTAATCTTGTTTAGGGGACACGACTAGTAAGTGGCAAAGTAGAAATTTGGACTCACATTTCCAGTTCTGTACTCCTAAAGATGGCCTTCATTATTAGTGACAATGAATTTTGCCTGATAAATGGAAAACTGGAAAAAGATGCATATCTGAAAAAAACTCAGTTACTCCCGAAGATGCTTTGTATTACCATTTTCTGAAAATGTGTAGAGGAATCTTTTTTAAAAATGTTGTAGGGGGCATCCCCTTTAGCTCAGTTGTTTAAGTGGCTGCTTCAACAAAGCAGTCAGCCTCAGGTTGCTGTGGTTCAATCCCCACAACTCCAGCCAGCCAAACATGCCCTGAAGGCATTCTGAGCCAGCCAAAATAAATAAATAAATAAATAAACAAACAAACAAACAAATAAATAAATAAATAAAATAAAAATGGTGTTTTCATCCCTTCCCAAGTTTTAAGTAGAAAATGCTCACTTAACTACTTTTCTTTGTGAAAAGAAGTGGTTACAGTTGTTTGAGCATACTTGCTTTGCACTACTGTAGAATCATGCTAAAGTGATCTTCCTATAAATTAGAAAGAGTAGTACCTGTCTACGCCTTTTTCCAGAGGGCTGTCATGAAGGTCAAGCAAGGTAGCACATTTGTAAACGTCAAGAATGGATTTACTATACAAGTGCTAAATGACATTTTTATGCATAGCAGGAATGAAACAGCATTGTCGTTTAAGTTGATCTGTGATGATTATACAGAATAGCTCAATTTCAGACTAAAAATACAGGTGGAAATGTGTAAAGATGAATAAAATGTGGTGTTCATGAGGTGTTATCCCTTTAAATTTCTAGTATAGGCTTTTCTCTCTTGGGGACTCACTGATTTTCATTTATTTTGATCTCTTTTTATTGTACTAGTGTGCAAGTGATCCATTTAACACCTTGTTTTCTTTTGTATTCAGTAGCTTTTTCAAATTATTCTTGAAAGATCGGTGTCTTTTATACTAAAAATGTCATTTTTCTTACTGTAGCAAGATGAAGGGAATGTCCAGACTTTCACAGATGGCAAAGATCAGAAATCCTAACAAACTTCACAAGTGGAAAAATGATGGTGTCAAACAGAGACCAGTCAGTGAATCAGGCAGTTGCTTCTGTGCTGCCAAGACTGAAGGTCCACCTGAAGCAAATGCAGATCCTCTTGGTGTTTTGATCAACAGTGATTCTGGTAAGCTAAGTAGGAAAATACTGTGTTTATAAGTGTGTTCATGGGATGCTAAGGTTGATTACGTGTAGTCTTGTTCGTGAAAAGTTTAAATGACAAGTACATAAAAATATAGAGAAATATAATTATGCTTTCAGTTTTGTTTTTAAGAGGAGTGTCTTATCAAAAATGTTACTTCACAATGTCTTTTCTGAGTCTTAGGGGTGGATGTGTGGGCCAGGCAGGCTATGGGACAAAGATTAAATTGTTGAATAATTCTCAAAGTATAATGTAGTCTTGGGAATTTTCGTATATTTTTTGAGTTGCTGGAAATACACATTTGCTTGATTTCTTTTTCTTTTTTTTTTAATATTCAAGCTGTTTTAATGAGCATGAATACACTTTTAATAAATCAATTGGTCATCCATACATTGTACATATAAGCACCTTCAGCAAAGCAGAATAGCCAAATTGCTTGATTTCTTGTATTTCCCCCAAACCTTAAAGCACCAATTCTGTAGTAGCCAGTGTTGTTTATGCTCCTGAGCATAGACGTGAACTCTGGGCTAATGGCTTTCATTGTATTTACATAATATACATAATAGTTTTCTTCTTCAAAGGATAGAATATATTTATATATTGTTATACTTTATTGTGGAGTTCATTTTAGATTTACAGGACAAGTTTACACTTACTTATAAAGCAAAAAAATGAAAATATCAAAATATAATTATATACAGGTATCATTCAGCTTCCGAGACTCCATTTTCTCTGAAAAAGAAGATGTGTATGAAAATAGTTCCATTACTATTCTGAGGCTTTTCGCTAAGTAAATGTGCTTCATACTAGAGGATTTTAATCTTTGTTCCATTTAGGTGACAATTGCTTCCATGATAATCACATGGCAAGTTGTTGAACAGATGGCAAGAAATAGGGGTGGGGAGGAGTAACTAATTCATTGACTAGATTAGGATAGGAAAAAATCTTGGCATAAGGGAATGTTGGGTTAAGTATAATACAATAAAATTTAGCAGGATAGTTCTACTACTAAATCATCTTAACACCAGGTAGCACTAAGATGCTTTGTTCCATATGCTTTATGTGTGTTAATTGAATTCCTCCAAACAACCTTTTACATAGATACTGTTGTAACTCCTGTTTTAGAAAGGAGTACCATAGACATTAAGAAATTTTTCTGATATTGCTAATTAGTGATAGAAAAATTTGAACTACATGTCCTCAAATGTGAAGTGTGAATTTGTTTAAAAATATTGTGTGAATATAGGACAGTAGAAATGGGAGAGAGTTTAGAAAGAGAACCTTGCTACCTTTTCAGAGAGAAAGGAAAAGTGAATGATATTTCAAGCTTGTATTACATACTCACACTGACTTTGTTTTGCTTCAAAAAGTTTTAGAACCCACAGTTGTCCTCAGATTTAAAATTTATGACCTTGGTGAAAAAATATTTCTACTCCAAATATAAGCTTTCATGTTTTAAAAATACATACTTAAAACACAAAAGTAAGGACACAAATGAAAAGACTTCATTACTATTGGTAAGGTACAAGCTTAAAAATGATATCCTTTGTTTTGTGTTTTTTTTTTTTTTTCTTCCCTAACTGAACATTTGAAGGACTATAATATTGACTAGTTTCTGTTGCTTTTGTATCTTACTTTTGATACATGGTCAGTTCTGGTTTTTTTTTTTTTTTTTTTTTTTTTTAAATTGAAGGATTAAAAAACAGAATCTTACACATGCTAGACAGAATTATATTCCAAGCCTGTTTTGTTTTTAAAAAAAGTATTTTAGTGTATGCCAATCTAGTAAAACAAGAAGGGGCCGGGGAGATGGCTCAGTGGAGTAAGCGCTTCCCTGGCAAGTGCCAGGGCCTGAGTTCAATCCCTGGTTCTGCCAAAAAAAAAAGAAAAAAAAAAATCTAGTAAAACAAGAATGAAAAGATTATAATTTACTTCTATTTAGACTTGTGTCTAAGTCCTCAAAAGACACTTTAGATATGAGAGACAGTAGTAGATCCCTCTCATCCTCATCAATAGAAAGAATTCAGTTGGATTTCCAGAAATAATTGAATGAGAAGTTTCTTTTTCTTTTTTTTTTTTTTTCTAATTTTTGTGGGCAGCGGTACTAGGAATCGAACTCAGAGCCTAATATTTGTTAGGCAGGTGCTGTACCATGGAACTCTTATTTTTAACCCTGAATGAAAGATTTCAAATAATTTTGCTTTAAACCAAAACATAATGGTTTTAAGTGTGACCCTTACCTATTGTGAGGGCCAGGGATATGAGCATGTCTGCCTTCTACCTCAGAGATGAGAACATTAGTCTGGAGTATAAAAATCTAGCAAGGTCTTGGAGTGGAGGAGAGAAGCAAGTGGGTAGGTAGGGGCTGATCACTAGCACCGCCAGAACAGGAACAGGGGGTTGAGTCCTGTAGCACCACCACAGCTCCTAGAGAAAGGAGAGGTGCTGAAGCTAAAGTCAATTACTAGTACCCAAGAGTTAGGTGACTGTGCCTGTGTAGCAAATCTTCCATGAGAATCAAAAGGAGGTCCTCCAGATGGTGGCACATGGGAAGGCTCCTGAAGGATGGCAGTCCCAAGAAAGAGAGTGTGGGCATTCCATGCCCCTTTTCCTTGCCTCACCCTGTGCATCCCTGTGACTATATTGTTCATAATGTTCCTTATAACTAAAAAGTGTTTAAAAAAAAATAAAACAACCTATTGTTAATATGCTAAAAAGAACAAAAGAGACTCATGATCTAATAATTTTTTTTTTTTTTTTTTCCTGGAACCGGGGATTGAACTCAGGCCCTTACGCTTGCCAGGGAAGCACTTATTCCACTGAACCATCTCCCCGGCCCTAATGATCTAATAATTTTTTGTCATTGCATTAGATTATGCTTTGATCAGCAGTAACATGTTGTGTGTATGTGTGTCTGTGTGTATGTGTATGTGTGTGTGTGTGTGCGTGTGTGTGAGAGCGAGAGAGAGAGAGAGAGAGAGAGAGAGAGAGAGAGAGAGAGAGAGAGAGAGAGAGAGAATTTACCCTAGAAAAGTGTCACTAATTTTTTTTATAGGACGAGAAATTATTTTAGTATTTTATAATTCTCAAGTTGTGTTTATTTTCATTTTGTTTGCTATCATATGCTGCTATTTTTAGTTCAGAGAAATGTTTTAGCTGCTTTTTAAAATAGTGAGTGAAATTTTTTTAAAATTTTATTTATTTATTTATTTATTTGTGTGTGTGTGTGTGTGTGTGTGTGTGTGTGGCCAGCTCAGCCCACCAGGGGGCGGAGCTGGCTGGCATGTGGTGCTGGGGGATTGAACTGCTGTCCCTGTGCTTTGCTAAGCTTGTTCTAAGTAGGTGCTTTAGACCACTGAGCCATCTCACCAGCCCCGTGAGTGAAAATTTTTGTAAATATTTTTGTCAGTCATTCTAAGGATCTAAAAGTACCTGTATTAGAACTGCTGGGTAGATCTCAGAGACTTTGGAATAAAATAGTTTTGTTTTGTTTTTTGGTCATTGTAGATATTTGGATAGCACTACAAAGATAACACCGTTTTTCAAAGAGCTGGGTCCCTTAAATGTATAATGGTGTGAGGGAGGGGTAGTTGTCCATATCTATAAACTCCTAACTCTTATCTCTTGGGGAAGTGGTCAAGTACAGTGAGCTTTGTGACTCCCAGTGACAGGTATACCTAGCATTGAAATCATGGCTTCTAAGCACTGTTTACTAATCAACCCAAGATCTCCTTAGAGAAATGGCTGATTATACAGTTGGAACTGTGAAAATACAAGGTAGCCTAGGGGGCTGTAGTACCAGAAAGATCTCAAACAACTCAATGATGTTAACATGTCATAAGGTTATTAAAAAGATTTTTCAGTGACCAAAGTTGGAACAATTTTGAGCCATAATCTAAATAATAAATTATAATTGCCACACCAAAAGTAAATATTCATTAATCCTTGCTGATTTAAATAAGTATTTGAGTAAACAAATCAGTGAAGAGGAGTGAATCTTACAGATGAAGAATTCAAGTAAATACGTGTAGAAGAAATTAGAAAAATAGAAATTCACTATTAGAGCACCCTAGTGATAATTGTAGACAAGATCCTCTGACAGCAAAATTCGTAGCCTCAAAATATCTCCTCCCAAAACATTTTTTAATTACTAATTGATTTTTAACATTTTTCATAAAGTTCTTTGATACTTCCTTTTTTAAAAAATGTATTTAGTACAGGATCTCACTACACAGATCTGACTCACTGTGATCCTTGAGGCTGTTTTCAGCCTCCAAGTGCACTCGCCACCATGCACAGTCTCGTCTCAGCTTGCTTCGGGGTGGGACTGGCACAGCACACCAGGGATTGAACCCTGGTCCCTGTGTCTGCCTAAGCAGGTGCTCTTTGATACTTTTTATTTGAGTTACAGGTTAACTCTTCCCAAGGAGTAGTGACAACTAAATGTGAAGTAGTATGGCAAAAGAAGGACATTACTGGGAAAAACTGGTGTAATTACAATAGTGTATAGTTCAGATACAATATAGCAATAATGTTAATTTGCCAGTTATGATAAATATACTTGGGTTATGTACAAGATTAACATTAGGGAAACTGTGTAAAGGGTGTATGGAAACCATTCTGTGTATTTTTGTAATACTTGTGTGAATCCAGAATTGTTTCAAAGGGCTGGGGAGATAGCTCAGCAGCATAACCATGTGCCGGGCCCTGAGTTCAATCCCTGGTACTGGGGGAAAAAATGTTTCAAAATACAAAGTTAAAAAACAAAAGGGAAGAACAAAACAATGACTGTAAGCCATTTTTGGTCTTACCTTATCCTTTTTGAATGGCATTATGAGGAACGCTGTTCTCCAGGGTTTCTGTCACTCTTTTTTTGTTTTCTGTTACTTGCTGATTACAAAGGTAATACAGAATATGTGGGAAGAAATTGAACAAAAATTTTTTTAAAAAAACTACTCTCAATATATGCAAATGATCATTGATCACATCTTTTTAATGCTTTTCCTGTACACATGCATTTTTAAAAGATAAGTCATGTTATATAATTAAAAAGTATGCTTTGACTCCATGAGAATCTAGGTTTCTCTTTACTAGTTATTTGAAGTGCGTTGTATTATGTAACAGTTTGTTCTTCAAATATTTTTGAGCATTTATGTGTTCTAGTTTCTAGGGGTAGAGCATTGAACAGAACCAACCCCCTTCTGTCATGTAGCTGCTGTTCTGGTTGAGGGAGCTATGATAAACAAGTTCATAGTATGTTGGGCCAAGATCAGTGTTGTGAAGCTGAGGTGAAAAGATGGATTATGTTTGGAGAAGGAATTGTGCTATTTTATGTAAAATTATCAAGGCATCTCTGAAGGTGACTTGAAGAAGGCAACTGAGAGAAGTGATAGCTGAGGGGATAGCAGGCTCAGCAGAGGAAACTGCGGTGCAAGCACCCCTGGAATAGGAGCCTTGCATAGTCAGGGAATGGCAGGGCTGGAGTGACATAAGCCAAGAAGAAAGCTGTGGGGTTTGTTACTAATGGAGTTCAACTCAGGTGAAATGTGTAGACTATGGTACATCTTAAGATTTTACTCAGGTTGAATAGAGATGTATTGATCTCACTTTATGTATAGTGAGGCAAATCATAAAGGAGAGAGCAGGATCCTAACAGGATCTTCGTATAGGAGGTTGTTAGAATTGTCAGAAACATTACCTTAGAGCTGTCGTGCAAATGGTGAGAAAGAGTATGACTTTGAATATGTTTTCAAGTAGAATTGAGAGCAGCTACTGAATTGTTGGATATAGTATAAGAGAGAAAGAAGAATCCTGGATGATTGCTAGAATTTTGGTGTAATCCTTGTTGGAGGGAGTGTACCAAGTGGAAATAAATATTTGTTTTTCAACATATTTTTTGAAATATGTTTTTACCTATATATGAGGTAACTGACTTCTAGGTAGAGATTTTGAATAAGCAGTTAGGATTATTCTGAATTTATGGAGAAAAATGAAAGTTGATGGTATAAATTTGTGATTTGTTTGCATGTAAACAGTATTTTAAGACTTTAGATAATATGAGATCATCTAGGGAAAGAAAGGCAAAAAGAAAAAAGCTCTCAGAATTGGGTCCGAGGCCACTTCATAGTTTTGGGAATTGGCCAGTGAGGAGAGTTTAGTAGGGAAATGGAGAAGAGAGTCAAGTAAAGGTGTTTCTAGAAGTATTGCATAATTATATACCATCAGATATTGTTTTTGAGTTAAATAAAACCAAGAAATGACTTTAATGTTTTGCAACAGAGGACCCAGGTGAACTTGGAGGAAAAAAGTTTTGTTGGGGTGGTGAACATAAAAAAAACAGATTAGATTTTGGAGTGAATCAGATACCTGAAGAAAATTTAAGGCCTAGATGGTTTCTGTAGTAAATTTTGTCTGTCAAATAGCTATTAGAAATTTTGCTATGAAAGAGAAAAACAAATGGAACTATTATTGGAAGAAGACATTAACATTACTATTGACTGAAAGTATATTTTGATAAAGTAGGTCCATTGAGAAAGTACTTTATACAGGAAAGCATTCTAGCTCACTAGGTAAGAATTGGGATTTGGATCCTGGTGTGGTGGTGAGTGGTACACTCTTGTAATTCTGACTCTATAGAAAGCCAAGACAGGAGGATAACAAATTCAAAGCCAGGCTGGGCAATTTAATGATACCTTGTTTCAAAATTAAAAAGAACTGAGATATAACTCAGTGTTAGAGCACTTGCCTAGTATATGTGAAACCCCCAGTAACATATAAGACACACACACACACACACACACACACACACACACACGGCCAGAGACAGAGACAACGACAAAATTGGGATTTGGAGTCATATAGGTAGGACTTAAATTTGACCCAACTGTCAAGTTTTTTGTTTTACTACCTGTAATTAACAGTGAAAAGCTACTGATTCCTAAGGATTAAATGAGATCATTGTACTCTTTGGTACATTTCTTTAGGTCTTACAAGGGTACACTACTGCTGTTTGGCCTTTGACCATTCAAACAGTGATTGAACAGTCTTCATACTAACACAGTGGTAGGTTTCTCCTTAATCCACTCATGATTTACATATATGAATTCCATATTTTTCTTGCCTTTATTTATAGGGGAGAAAAGGTAATAATGTGGCTTAAAATTAGCAAAGAACAGGTTTAGAAGTTATGGTTCTGGGTAGGCGGGAGAAGAGGATATATCTTTATTTGACAATAAATGCTAGGTCAGGGGCCAGGGAGATAGCTCAGTAGAATAAGCGCCTGCCTGGCAAGCTCAGGGTCCTGAGTTCAGTCCCTGGTACTGCAAAAAAATAAAAAAATAAAAAAAAATAATGATAATAATAATAATAATAAATGCTAGGTCAAGTCGTGGAAGATATTCCTATTTCCTTGTAGCATATTTTGGTTTTCTCTAGGTTGTAGAGATAAACTGTAATACTCAGTTTTGAGACATTTTATATTGGTTGAAGATTGAATTATTTCATTAAATAGACAAGTTACTTATATTGTCTTCAGTCAGGCTTTATTTTTGGTTATATGGAATAGAGTTAATAGATTTCTAGAGCTGCCAAAAATAAATGTAATAGGTGGTGTCCTGCTGGGCTCTGAGCAAATACTTTTGGCAGGCTCTTTGGGACTTGCTACATTCTTATAGTTGGCTTGTTGACTGAAGTTCTTAGAAGTTCTAAATAATAAAAACTTTGGAGTGGATTCATTTCCATAAAACTCATTGACTAAGCCTATAACATGGTTCAAGTATTATTTTTGTCTTAAAAACAAAAAAAGAAGAATGCATCTTTATATTTTATTTATTCCTGTGTCTAATTTTCAGAGTTAATGGTCCTAATCCAGTAAAGTTAAATAAAGTTTTGTCCTCCCCAGTATCTGTAAATAAATAGCAAAGACTATAATTAAGTAATTTAGGAAGGCTTAAATCCCATTCCCTGTAAAGCATATTAACTTAACTTAGCTGTGTAGTTTTCATTTGTCTCTTATTTGCTTTGTAGTAGATTCTTTTCTCAAGACTTAAACCAAGGAGAAATTTTAAATTGTAATGCCTCGTGAAATTAGCTTTTGAGGAAGAATAAGGAAATAGTCAGAAATAATAACATGGTAGAGTGGAAGAGGAAGGTGCTCACCTTTTTAAAATTATGGTGATAGATATTTTGAGATGCACTGTTTGAGTCTGTTTGTTCTTCTCTTTTAGAGTCTGATGAGGAGAAGTCACCAAAGACAGTTGTACCTAAGGAAGTGACACCAGCTCTGTGCTCACTCATGAGCAGCTATGGCAGCTTTTCTGGGTCAGAGAGTGAGCCAGAAGGTAAGGCACAGCTTCTGTAGGTATGCTGAGGTGTGCTTTGTTTTGTTGCCCCAGCCTTTAGTGTATGCTGTGTATTAATGTCACCTGGGATGCATATTCATTATTTGAACTTCAAATTTTTCATTTGATTCAGTGGTTAGCATAGGATCAAGGAAAGCTGGAGTAACAGAAAAGTAAGTATGCTAGTGTAGGAGCAAAAGGCAAAAATAATACAATTAAAGGACAAAAAAGAGGCCAGAGAGATAGTGCAGAGGCATAAGCACCTACCTTCAAGAACAAAAACCCGAGTTTGATCTCTGGCCCCACATGCCGTGTAGTCTCAGTCCTGGATGTGGACACCCACTGTGCAGTCCCGGAACTGGGTGTGGTGGCTCACATCTATAATTCCGGCGTTTGGGAGGTTAAGCCAGGAGGATCTCTGCAAGTTCAAGGCCAGCCTGAACTCATAGTGAGACCCTGCCCCCAAAAAGAAAGAAAAAAGGATAGAGAAAAAGAGAGAATGAAAGAAAATTTGCAGTACATTACAGAATGAAAGAAAATTCTAAAAGAAATAGCAAAATCACATTTAATTTATTCCCTGCTCTTAACCTTTATTGTAACATATTTATAACACTGTCACTAGGTGAGAAAAGATGTTTTTGACAGAATGATAAATTTTATAAATGCGTATAAAATTGTTCTTTATAGAGCACATTTACATAAATTGGAAGAAAGGAATTTTCAAGAATCTTCTCAGAAGTCAGAGATAGGATGCGTGGTGTCACAGATGATAATGCAAAGGACCTTACTGTGGAGTGCAGGGCCAACTGTAAGAGCTACTAAATAGGCTACTGATCTGGTACATATGACAAATTTTAATCTAAGGCTTGTGTCAATCTATCATATATTTAGTGAATAAACCTGTGCCCTACAGTCTTGGAAGCCTAGATCTGCATCGCAATTTTATTTAGGTTTTACCAGCCATGAGAAAATTCGTGTAAATGTGTATCAGGAGAAAGGTAATCAGAGTAGGAGTTATACTAAGAATAAGACTACAGTATCTGAAAATATTTATATGGAATGAAGGGAAGATTTGAATATAATTAGACAGGTGATACTTTAATTTTGACTAGGCTAGAGGTAATCAATATTTGTGTAGTCAGAGGATGTTAACTAAGGAATACTTGGGCTTTAAGATGTAATATGAGGGCCTGGGGAGATGGCTCAGTAGAATAAGTACTTCCCTGGCAAGCACAAAGGCCTGAGTTCAATCCCCAGTTCCAAACAAAACAAAACAAAACAAAACAAAAACAATTTAACTTAAAAAAAAAAAGGTGTAATATGAAGTTTATATCTATAGAGTTTTTCTTGTTTTCAGTGGGCTGTGGCTTACTCTAGTAGCTTGTTGAAAGCTACTTGCATTTTGAAATATAAACTACTTTGGTTTTCTCAGTATTTCTTAACAGATGGTTGCCTTGTTTTTTGTTTTCTTTTCATTTTAACAAAAACAGTATTTATTTCAGTCTCTTATTTCTCATAGATTGATAGGAAGAATTACTCTTTTCAACACATACTGTATTTCCTACCTATCAGCTATATTTATAACAAATGATAAAAAAAGAAAACTATCCCGTAAAAACAAGTTGAACTAATGCTCTCCCCTCTCTTCAAGTGAAACATTTGTACTTTTTCTATTCATGTCTTCATTTTGAGACTCACCATATTTTAAATTGGAAGAAGGAAAGGAAAATGAATAGAACCTTAACCTTAAAGAGGTTAAGTTTGCTAGTATGTGACAGAACTGATTAAAATCTAGGTTAGAGGACTTGAAATTTTATCTCATTAAGCTAACTGTATTGCCTTCCCTCGTAGCCCTTTTCTGGGAGGCATTTACTGTTTTCCTGAGTAGTAATGTAGAACCTTTTCATTTGTAGATAACAGAGGATATCATCTAATAAAATATATATTTGATTTTGTGTGCATTCACTTTGACTAATTATTTAAAATTCTCTGCTTTTTTTTTTCTTTTCAAAGTTTTATTGATAAACATATAGCAATGAAACAGTTTCAAATCAAATTGAAAGTACAGTTTCAAGAAATAATACACTGCATATATTCTTCTTAGTGGTTAATTGCTGTACAAGATGTGGACTTGAGATCCTACTTACAAACACCATTAGAACAAATCATTCCA